ATCCATCCGTTTTAGCCATTAAGTAAATGACGTGTTGAGCAATCAATAATGGCCATTATTGATTGACTCAACCTATCTTGAATCAATCAATAATGCGCATTATCGCACGCTCAATTATTGTCCTCAGCTATCGTGGACTGTCGCGATCTATCCCGCCTAAAAATAATACTGCCAAAAAGGCAATAGTAACAGTGCGTTTGACACAGATGACTCGAAATTTATATGTATTTTGAGCAACGGTACCGTATTTATGTTACTTTCGTAACATTCCACATATATAATGTACATGTACTGTGAACCGCAGGAGAAATAGGAGAGCGGAGCGACCCACCTTTTCGACATGCAGCTGTGTCCCAGCTGACATTGGACCAATCAAACCCAAAAAGAATATTTCCCGCGACCATCAACTTCACTTTCGTCAGCAACCATCTAATCGCAGAGCGCAGACAAGCTCGACGAATTACAATCGACTAGTTTGTGTGGTTTTCGTCTACGAGAGTGGCGCGTACCTTTTGTACTGTTCCAAACAGACATGCGACTTTCGATGATTGACGACCCACAAACCAACAAACGTCAACATATGTATAATAAGTGAATTCGAACGTTGAAAGCGAAAGAAGAAGAAAAGATTCGAGCCAAGAATCATTAGAACAGAAAAGGTATGCAATCGAGTAGATAACGATCTTTTTGTGTTTCTCGCTCTATCTCACCTGCTCTCGCTTTATGTTCCAAAGGACCGAACATGAATGAACAATTCACTGTCGCACAAAGCAAAAAGAATCACCATGATGTTGTTGGCAAGAATTTTTCTTGTCCGAGCAATCAAATGGCAATGGTCAACATTCTAGGGCCTCAAGAGAGCAATTTTATCAACGAGTCTCGTCAAGGAATGATAATGCCATCTCACGTTGTCTCATTACGCTCTACAACAAAACAACCAAAAGGCAACCAGAACGCTGCACATTCTTCAGAACCTCAACAATGGGTGGACTCGCACGACTTGTTTGTCGTTGGCCGTCAAGAATACCGCCACCAGATTTCATCCAATCAGCATGCTCCATCTCGAAGTGCTGCAAATTCGAATGTCACTTTTTGCGATGCAAAAGGACAGGATTCCCACAGTTTGAAGCAACCTTATTTTGCTAGCCATTGGAGCAACTTGCCAGGCATGAACGACCAAACGAGTTCTCACATTAGGCCAAGAATGATATCAGATTCGGAGCAAGAGTCTCAGACGGAAACGAAGCATCACTATGATCTGATCAGCAACAGCAGAACTATGTCCCTCACTTCTGCGTTGCGTTCGCAAGCGATTGCCATTCAGCCCAGTGCGACATGCCATCCAACAGACTTAGAAGAGCAAAACACCCAGCAATCTGAAATGATTTACGATCAAGCTACCTGGCGGATGTATAATCGAATTGTGGACCACCGAAAGAATCAAATTCAAGGAGACGACGCTCAGCAGGCTCATGCGACTTCGGACAACTTGCAACGGTCACTACAAGTGCTCAACAACCTCAATTTTGACGTCAGCGACAATGATGGCTCTATTTATCTAGCAGATGATGGAGAAATCTTTGAACTCGACATGTAGTAAACAAGCTATCGAGATTATTTCCGTGATGCCATGCTGGCAAACTAGGATACACGCAAGCTACACAGCTCCTAGATTTTGATACTTTTGATCCATTGTTTTCAAGGAATATGAAATGAACAATAAAATAACAATAGAATATACCGCCCCAAACAATCTTTTGAATGCACCATGATTACTACTGGTACGATCGACCACCACTCTGTCAGTACATGTTTCAGAAATTGCATAATATCACCAGGTCTATCAAGGGTCCTTAATCTTCATATTATACTATCTACCCCTACAACCCTACCTATCAATATTTTCAAGACAACAGTTCTCATCTTTACTCGTGTCTTTCTTCTCTCAGCCACTCACAGAAGACAGCTGGAGAAAAAATCGAAAGTTCTGTCATTCATTCGCTCGTCCGTCATTTTCAACTTATTGGCATGCGGTGGGACCACTTTTGATCAAGTCGACCACCTGCGAAAACAACGCGAATAAAACAATTATAATAATAAATTCCCTTGCGTCATCATCCATCATCATCTAGTTGTGCAATGAATCTATGAATTTAACGTTCTAATAAGTATTTGCACCAATTGCATCTAGTATCGTCGTCTAGAGGTGAATCGGTCGTTCTTGGGTGGAGATATTGGCGTCTCTTCCTGCCTCTGTTGTCGTTGGTGGTGATCGGATTCATCGTCGTCATCCAAACTCAATCTGGTCCGAGATTGGTGTCTTGCCCGTTTCCGCTGTCGAGTATTCGAGTCGTTGGATGTGTAATGATATGGAGACAATCTTAGTCTCGTTGGCTGGACGTTGCTATTCATGGACAAGACGGATCCTTGAGCTCGATTCGGTGTCAAAGGTTGGATTTCATCCTCGTCGTATTCATTTCTGGTACGAGACAAAAACTGAATGGCTTTCTTGGGAGCAGTTGGTGTCTTGACTCGTTTCAATTCTCGTGGGGAAGTATCGTATACCAAATCAGACACCGGAGAGATCATCTTCCAGACTCGATCAAAACCTTGGTGAGTACTCAATGATCTGGTGGTGGAAGCAGCAGACTCTCGTCCCTTCCGCTCGTGTGAAGACCGACCGGGCGCTTCATGGCGGCCTTGCTTCTCAAACACCTCTTCCAACTCTCGTTCAAAACTATCATTGATGGAATGGATGAGCTTGGATGATTGGAGAGGAACGACTTGTGATTCTCTAACATTTGTGTCGTTAGTGGGAGATATGAAGAGACTTTCTTCGTCGATTGAGTCATCTGGTCCATGATCCTCTTCATCACCTCCCAACAATGGTTTCAATTTCTTAACCTTTTCGAAAGTCCGGTGTACGACCGATGATGCGAACGAAGATGCCCTGGACGAAAGAGACGAGAGAACGCTTGCATCGTCCGCACTGCCAGATCGATTCATTGGAGACAAACCAATGGCCGATACATTGTCACTCACGGTCGATCCAAAGTCCCGCACATTTTGAATTCCATGCCGGGCCATAACCTTCGTCTCGACAAAAAAGGACACAAGAGCGCTCTTGTCATCCTCCAAATCAGCATTCGCTTCTGATTCTTCATCGGAGCAAGATTCATACGACGAAGCTTCATCTTCGCCAGCCTCTTCGCCATTTGCAGTTGGATCTTCCATGACGGGTGCAATCTCGGTTCCTGTTTCGCCATTATCCACATATTCGAAAGTAAAGACGCCTCCACGAGCAGAATCGGGCGAGGATCCCTCGGTGTCAAAGGTCGGTTTCGATTCAATGAATTGTGACCCAAGATCGAACTCCACATGATTAATTTGCGATTTGAGCTTGACTCCTTGTGCCTTCCACTTGCCAACTTCGTCACCATAGTATTCCTTCATGAATTCCTTGTACTCTTCGAACTCCTTTTCTACTACTCGCTTCGGTTTCTTGTCTCGTTTCCTTCCCCTCTTGATGGAATTGAATAGAGCTGCTCGCAATGACAACATCGTGAAACAGCATAGCAAAAGGGAAAAGGAACAAGCCCATATCGATGTCGCTCCCTTGACGGACTCGTTACAAATGGCTCCGTTGGTGACTCGCCGAATGATTGGGCTGACACGACTGCAACTAATCAGATCCACATAGGCATCCATTTGATCTTGCAAGTCGTGGAATAATCCATCCAACGATCCAATGGTCGCTGGAAGGAAAGAGACGTCAGCTCCACACTCGGCACTGAGACTATCAATCAAGAAAGTTTCATTCTGGGCATCGATGAGTGCATTGCTGAGATGGGTCAGCTGGGAGACACCGTCGCCAATTCGAGCTCCGAACTCTTCCAAAAAGTCAAGAGGATGCTCAGTCAAACAACCCTGAAAGCAACACAAGGGAAACGTCGGTCAGAATCAGGTTTTCCTAGGAGAAGATTAGATGTGTTGGCATTACTTACCCCAGAATAATATTTGAAACTGTCATACACAAGTTCCATTGAGTCATCGGGGCCAATTGAAGCATCCAGAGATCCATGTTCATAACTCAGAATAGCATCGTAAAAGGTTCCTTGCGGCGATCCTTCCTCACCGCCACTGCAAAAGTCGGCATTAAAAAGAGCAGCAATTCCACTGACAGCTGTAATCGCCATGAGAATCGTTGTCAATACAAAGAATACTGGAAGTATCAGCCAGGTTGTGTATGCTCGTGTTGGAGGATGTATGATATTGTTGCGTGAACACACTTGACATATCAAAACCATCAACAGGTTGATCACATTGAGCACCATCAGGAAGAACTTGAACATCCAATCATTGTCCATGACCCTGTTGAGGGAACCTTCGATATCACTTGCAATTTCCGTAATGGTTTGGAATCCAGCAATATCATTGGGAACGTATCGAGCATACTCGTCTTCCAAATGAATCGCAAAGCTTTGAACTTGAACAAATGATTCCTTTAGAAGCGCGAGCGACGAGTTTCTCTGATTTGGACACCACTCATCAAAGACAGTACTTTCTTTGGGTGTAGATAGATCCAATGCTTGTTGCACAAATTCGTGTTGTCGAATATTTCTTTCAGTTTGTTTCAGTCTTTCAATAATATTTTGACCGTTGAACGACCACGATTCTACATCATCTAAAGTTTCCTTGACATCTTTCATTGCGGTATCCATGTGCCCCCATCCCACTTTTACGAGTATCAAGGTTAGGGTTGGAATCGCCAATCCAACCACCAAAAACATTGCTTGAACTCTCCAATTTCGAACAATATGCTGCCGTCGAGTCTTCCTGGAAACGCCCCGTTTGGCTAGCTTTCGAATGTCTACAACTTGCCCACCTGCCGCACAACCAACTTTATGCGCTCCATAAAGATATTTGAATGCCAGCAGAAGCAAAGCCCACAAGACAAACGGAATCAGCGTGAAGAGTGTAAACTGCTTGAGACCACTTGCATATTCCATGGGATCTTCTGGATTTGTAGAAGCGATAATACCCAAGCGGTTTGAATGACCAAATCGTGGTGCTTCGTGCATGTACGATATCAATGTATTCTGAAAAGATTGAGAAAGAATGAAATCGTGAATTCAGTGGTTTTGCAAGATTGGGCGGAACAAGAAGCGAAACACAAACATACTGGCATGGAATTGGAGCCCCCTACATTCTCATCACTCTCATCCGGCGAAGCCAGATCCACTAGCTTGGCAAGGATACGATTGTTTTCAGGTATCAGATGATGCGACATGTGTGGCGTGTGTATGTGTCAACTTGTGTGTATTTGTCTTGGTTGTTGGCTTGGTTTATCCTATAGTGTCGAGTGTTGGTTGGATGACGGATTGATAGACACAATCGAATGTAGAGAAAGGTGATAGGTATGGTCGGTAGTCAAAAGAATTCGACGATTGTAATGGTTTTAATGATTGTAATAATTGAAATAATGTCGTGTGTCTTGGGCGGATGGATGTGTGGTCTTCTGGTAGGCAATCGTTGATATTGGTATTTTCCGTCGTTTTCTCTTTTGATTTCGTAGGATTGATTCCAGAATTCAAATTCAACCATGTGGAACCGCTTTGACTGGGCTCGCGCGATATTTTAGTTTGAAAACTACCACGTTCCCAAAATTGAAAATACCGTTTCATGCTTCAATATACGTGTTCTCGCACGACTGAAGAATATAGATCGCATCATCACTATACGGGTACCGGTACAGTACTGTATATCTCATGATTATCGAAAGCATTTTCAACAGCTCAAGCTAGGTCCAAGACAAACATAGCATCATGCACAATTGTAAGTTTCATCGCTGTTGTTTGGCAGCGTTGTTCCATTTCTATCTTGACACAAGCCGCAATCACAAGCATGCAGAGTCTAATCATTGTTGTTTCTGATTCTTACAGTGAAAACATCAATGGAAGTTCAGCAGCTACAGGTTTCAAATTCTATCATCTCAGAACGGGCCACGCTTCGGACAGGGTGTTTGGAATTCGAGTTTCCTTTCTTCTGTCTATTGTGGGCCTTGACTCGACACATGCATGTCCAAAGAACTCCGAAATAGTTTTCAACAATCAACCAGCACTTAGCATCTGAAATCCTACATGGACTGTAATCTACGCGTGCTGGGACGACGGAGGAGTTAATTGACCCCGCATCCGTACCAACGCCAGCACCCGTCCCTTTTGTCCCAAAAAATTCATTGACTACGAGCCTCGAAGTCAAAGGTCAAGAAATTGTTCGCCAGCTATACTAATACATACGTGTACATATTTTATAGGTCCAATCGGAATATTTGAGGAAGATAAATTGATCACAAAATGCATTTAATGGTTGTCTCTATCATGATCCTATCCTATCATCTACTATTTGCTTCTCTCATCTCCTAGGTACCGGTAATAGGTACGATACACCAAAGTCATGCATGGTCTACATCGTCCGTGATTATCGTCCGAACTATGATATTATATTATCTTTTGGCGAACATTTGTCATGTAGACATTATTATAACATATGCACCGCAACATAAATTTTTACGGTGCTGCCTACATCGTCACTATCAGTACAGAAACATCTTGTTGGCGACCCTCCATCTGTGTCATCCATTGGATTATGCGTTTTTCTTCATCAATCAATTCTCTTTCGACGTGCGCTGCAATGATATGGTCCCTTCGTCTAGTCTCAGTAATTTGCGCTGAACAATCATCTGCATCCAGTCATTCTACAATAAGAAGTCAAGGCAAATATCTTCAAGAGGCTGATGACCCAGGCAAAGTACACGTATTTATTCTTGCTGGTCAGAGCAATATGGAGGGACATGGTGAAATTGATAAGCGAGATGACAATGGGTTGCTCATGAATGGGACACTTTTGTATCAGCTTCATGATCCGCGAACTCGAGACGAATTTCAAGTTTTGTGGGACACTTCACGAAACACTTGGAAATCTTTGCCGAACGTCCAGATTTGGTTTCAAGAGGCAATGTACGAGGCGGGAGTCAACGGAACGAACATTCCTGGAATCAATGGACAAGATTATTCTGCTGGTGATCTAACCGTTGGATACGGTGAAGGAGGATCAGCAAGATCCGAGTTCTTTGGGCCTGAGCTTGGATTCGGATTCCATTTGGATTTGCCACCTGGATCATCGACGAGGGATAAGATATTGCTCGTCAAGACCGCTTGGGGTGGTAAGTCTACTGATCTTGGGAGAGCCGATCGCATGGTCACACCTAGTGCGATTACTTCATGCTACATTGATTTATTTTTGCCAATGAATGTCGTTTCAGCCCGACTTTGTTCTCACCTGTCACTGCACTTTCATTCGTTATACTGCTGTACCCGCATAGGCAAGGATTTAGCACAAGACTTTCGGCCACCATCATCAGCGCAAGAGTTTGATCCATTCTGCTTGCTTCCTGAATGCGACCCATTCTCTGTCGGTCACTACTACAATGTCATGCTGCAGGATGTCAACAAGCTTCTCAAGCCGGGCGTCCTGGGGACGATCTTTCCCCAATACACTAATATGACAGTCGATGTGGCTGGATTTGTATGGTTTCAAGGATGGAACGATGGTAAGTTGCAATTCTGACTATAATGATTGGTGAAAGTGTCTTGGAATGATGCTGACAGATGGATCCCTTTGTTTCGATATTGTTTTGTTCAACCCAGGTTGCAGCGTAAACTACACCGCCGCCTATGAAACTAATCTTGTGCATCTGATTCAAGATATGCGGTATGCTTTGAGAAAGCCCAAACTTCCAGTATTGGTTGGAGTTTCTGGATTTGAGGGATGGCGAGACAATGGGCAAGGTCGAAAACCTACCAATTGCTGGGATGGACCAAACATCATTGACAGGATACATTGTGATTGTAGTGGATTTGACCGAGAGTGTCGAAGGATAGATATTATGTTGTCCCAAATTGAAGCTGCCAACCTGACAAAGCATCCAGAATTGGGTTGTTGTGTTGAATCCATTGAAACCCGCGACTTTTTTCGCGCTGCAGAATTATCGCCGATGGACCAAGGCTATCACTTTAATCACAACGCTGAAACACATTTTTTGATTGGAAAGGCAATGGCCAGAGGAATGAACCGGCTGCAAGCGGCAAGCACCGATGATTCTGGAATGCCAGCCCAGTCCCTATGATATTGCAGATGAGCAAGTGAATCAATCATTTGAATCATATTAACAGCTCTGGCTGTAAAATCTTTAGTAAAGCGATTGAAATCCCAAGCATAGACCATCTGATTCCGGCTGCCAGCACCACAACGTGTCACAATAAGATTGGCAATGGTGCTTTGGTAAAAGATGATCTCTAAAAACTGCCCCAAGTCCGTTTCATGGATTGTAATACTACAGAGGAATGAGAGTGCCTGTATATATGTTGACGGAGGAAGACTATAAACACGTGCTGAGCAACGCAGCTGTTGATAATAAACGTAACGTTTTTCGGTCAGTCGCATGTGTGGGTTTTTGGGACGATCTGCAGGCAGCTAGACAATTTGAGATACCGACGATTAGCTAATCACTTTGCAGTTCTACCAACAAAGCTCATCTACACCCGCTGACAATAGTTCTGTCACTTCTAGCAAGACTGTTGATCTTTCTGGCGAAAATCCTGAGGAAACTGAGTCAACAGTGGATGAACATGTTGCCGCAGCTCTTCCTCCCGTTGTAATGATATTGCCTCTGTGGCTCTCTTCCACCCGGAAATCTTTAGTTCCTCCCGCTCAAGCGTCGCTATTGCCTTTGCATCTCCTTCCAGCGCAGCATCAACAGATTCGCTACCAGCAGTAACTTTCAATCTTCAACATACCAGTCAGCACAATTGTCTTCCAGCATGTCAGCGTCATCATTCTACGATCTTTCCGGCACAAAGAGTGACGAAAAAAAAAACTGACCTCTCCATAGGAGATTTCAAGGGCAAGGTTATTGTGTATGTCACAAACGTAGCCCGCAGTAAATGAGGCGCAAGCCGCCGCGAGTACACCCAATTTCGGAAACTTGGGGAACGGTGGGGTGATGACTTGGCGATCATATGGCGTTCCCAATAAGTATGGAGTTTGGCGCTTAAGAATTTCCAGGCAACGAAGGAGTTCAGAAATTTGCCACCGAACAAGAATTCCTTGCGGTATTCTCATGAACCTTGGAAAAGTCAATGGACCTGAAGCATCTGATATCTGGAAGTGCATGAAGAGTGAGAGAGGAGCCCCAGATCCCACTTGGAACTTCAACGGCAAGTTTTTGGTCTCCAAAGACGGAAAAGGTAAGCAACTATTTATATGTTGAATTGGACTCAGCAATAAGTATCACTGTTTCGATTATTTCAAGATGATGCAAACAGATTGTTTTCTGGTGACGACAGAGTTTCTGTTCCAAGCAATCTAGAGAATGGTATTGCATCTTTGATGTAAAAGGCCAAGCATGTTGAATTTGTAGAAAATTTGATGGTTGCCAATAATGACGGAGCGACAAAAGACTTCTGAATAGACCACAATACGTGTCCAATGGCAACCATTAGATAATACTATAAGCAACAACTACATCATACCTTATTCTTGTCCATCATAATTCAAGATCAGAGTGGGCCATTCACCAACGGTCTTGCTCTAGTTCTCTTTTTATTGATGATTAAAATCTACATTATTCCGATAGCCTGATACATGCTGTACCGAGCCAGATCGCCGAATGCAGGGCTTCCACCTACTATTTGAGCATCTGCAATTCCATTGCTTATTTAAAGATTGCTCGTTCCTCAAACATGAACGTTTTCCAGTTTCAGTCTCAGTACCTTCTCCTTGGATAGTTGGACATCATATCGCAATGTCTCAATGTTGAAACTCTTGATAGTACCAAATTTCCCGTTTAGCTCTGGTTTTAGTTGGAGCCCTGTGATCATTACGACAGTGCAATTGCGAAGAAGAACATTGCTAGGTTTCACACCAATGGCCCTGGAAACTCGACCCATGACAAATACTATGTATCTTTCAGATTTCGCATCCCACGAAAGGATTTCAGCATGTTCACCATTCAATTCTGGTATACTTTCAAGACCAACCAGCTCCACCTTAGAGTTCTGGACTAGATTGGATGGCTTAACCTTCATGTTTTTTTCGGAATCTTCCAAAACAACCGTGTATCGACCAGAACTAGGATCGTGTTGTTTTACTGTTCCGCGATCCCCGTTTATGTCTGGCCGACTAACCAATCCTTGTAACGACACAATTGTCCCTTCTGGAATGATATCATATTGCTGTCTTAGTGGGCGATCTGGCATACTCGCCCTTGGGGAACTCGTACTGCCGCTGCCCAATCCACCCAATCCATCTAGCACGCTGCCCAAGCTACTGAATATTCCTCCGAATGGACCGCTCCTTCCATTTGACTCGCTTGCACCAAACAGGTCCGAAAAAAATGTCGATGCGCCTCTTTGACTCACACCGGTACCATTTGGCACCCCATCGGCCGGTCGGCTGTTGCTCCTGCTTTCATTCACCATTCGTTGTTGTTGAGTTGGTTCTTGAATGGCTACAAGATCCCTTCCAAGCTCATCATAAAGTCTTCTCTTATCTTCATCAGTCAAGCTTGCAAAGGCCTCGCGGATCTGTTGTAATTCCGTTGTTGGTTCTTCATCTCCAGCACTCTGATATTTTGTTTGAACACAAAAAAAGTGAGTTTGTCGTTGTACAATCAGAAGTCATTGGCATAACCATTGTCACCTATCAATGAAGCCATGCAACCAATATTGCAACATACATTCACTTTGCTATAAGCGCTTCGAATGGAGTCCAGGATTTGCAAATAGTCCTCCGAACTCAAATTGCTTGCCATGTTCTTGATGTTGCTCTAGTATGGTGTTTCATGTGGAGCCTTTGGTGGATGAGATTATACGCATTCCATTGCATCAGGCGTGCATGCAGGAACGAATGGATCAATCGTGCGGCCATCGTAAAGACAGTCATCCTGCGATAAATGTGCGATCAATCTTGCAGGCGGTCATTTCGGCCACATAGACATTCCGAACCGTATGACCGTGTTTAACGTGATGTGTTTAACGTGGATTTGGAACTATCAAAGTACTTCCACGTTAAACACACCCTTGGGTGAACGCAGTGCAGACGTCGATTGTCAACACCAAAACCTCACCGCATGACAATTAAACTCTACACTGGCTTAGAATTATATTGAATTTTGTTGTCAAATGTTAATATTTTATATTTTACGTAGTTGTGAGATGTTATGGGGGAAAATCGTTGCCTAGATACAACTGGAAATCCCGCTCAGCGCCATTCTTACTCCTGATGGGCAACAGTGCACAACCATTCAGCCATGATCTGTAGATTTTCATATTTCATTTTCCAGGCGGGTTGTCACATTCCTCATTACTCTTCCATGTATCATCTTTGAGCGCCATTTGAGGAAGCATGCTGGCTTGTAGGTTTCAATCATTGGAGAATTGTCGCCAAGCAATTGCTGCTGCTACCCCTGATACCTTGTATTGCATCAGCTACAGTCGCAAGTGCCTTCATATGCTGTGCATTCTTGGTATCTCACCCAATTCGCCTGAAAGCTCCCCAGTTCTGATTTTTTTCACTCTGCTCACTTGATGACAGGCAGCGCCCATGCAGATTTGCAAGCCAACTAGAAGATGGACAAAACAACCTCATTCTATTTGCTAAAAGGGTTTGCCTCCATCTGCTTTGTCGTCTGGGGATCACAGATGCTCTCATTCTTTCAGTCTGCCCAGCGGATGACAGCGATCATGCCGATCTTCAAAGCCAACGAGGAGCAAGGAGATAGCAAAACACTATTATTCCCCTTGGGGGCAACACTGACTCCAGTAGTATCCAGCTTGTTCGTCTCAGCCCCCACGGCGGTAGATTGTTGGCGAAACGTATGTTTCTTCATTTTCTTCAGTTCCAATCTTGTTTTCTTCATCATTTGATGGCTCGGTTTTGGGTAACAAGACTCGCCTTCACTGTGGCTTCATCTCGTTGGATTACAAGAAAAACACATCACAATTGCCAACTGAGGCAGCTGTTGTCATCAGATTATTCTTTGTCTCCTGTTCTCAGTTTCGTCTGTTGTTCGTTATGAAGAAGCTTGTGAAAACAAGTAGCTACTGTCTGGTGTTGAATGATTCGGTTGACGATTTTGTCGTTTCATCCATCATCTTGTATATCCGCGGGTTACTTTGTGGCATCTTACCATCGGCCTCATCTATCGCGACCGCTTCTTGGAACGGCCGGGAAATAGATTTTTAGCATACAATTCTTGGGAGTAAATATTGATTTTCCCGGCCGTCCCTGCCGCTATCCTCCAAATAGTTTTACGTGCAAGGTCATACAGTGCCACCGAATATATTTGCCTCTATATGCAGCTGTTCTCCAACTTTGAAACCATAAAGTGAAACCGCGATTTACTCAATCCTCGTTTGCAACCAAACAACTGTCATGGTAATCCCCATGTTGTCTAAACCCAACACAAGCAGAACACGACAGAAGTTAACAATAAAGCTCAGTTGCCAATGGATCGGCCATTTATGAATTGTTTGAGCTGCATGAAAGAATTATTGGAGGAACAAAGGACGGAAGGCAAAAGCATATAATTTATTTGGACATTGTGTTGCTCATATCTTGACTTTCGTTGCATTCATCCAACAATACGCCGCCACCGTCGCATGACTACTAAATTTCTATCAAAACCTTTGCAAGAAGAATTGGTCATGCAGAAGAGAAATGGCGTGCCTCAAGGTGAGTTTGATTGTTTGATGCTGCGATTGTGAATCATGTTGACAAAAGCAGTCGCTCGTGTCTTGACTTTCTTTGCATTCATCCAACAATACACCTTTGTTGCTTGATTACTAGTACAGAGTCGTCAAGCCATCTTTGACAATCCATGAAACAGAAGAGAAATGGAGTCGCTCGAGGTAAGTTTGATTGTTGGATGTTGGGATTGTCAATCATGACTATGCTTGTGGTCTCCAAGGCTTGAACTACTACTGTACCCAACAGTACTCCATCATCATTGCTCGACTTCTACAGACTTATCAAGCTATCTCTGACAAAAACGGAACAGGTCGCGCTTGTAATGATATTCGCTTTGTTGACTATTGGATGTTGCAATGAATCATGATGATGACGGTGATCACCAAACACCGGCAGAACCTAACAGAAGGTAGCAATAGACCTCAATTGCCAATGGATCTGCCGCTAATGAAATGTTTGAGCTGTATGAAAGAGTTATTGAGGGAGCAAAGGCAAAATATTATAATTTCATTTTGAACAATCAGGAAGTTTGAGGAGTCCCTGTTCCAAATATTGCAAGAGAAAGGCACTATCTCTCACTATATGCACTCTGTGGGTGTTTGTTTGTTCGAACCATTCTTTGGCAAAGAAAGTTTCCATTTTGGCTTTGACATCACTCAAGGTGAGTTTCATTGTGGAATGCTGCATTTACAAACATTGATAAAAGCGGTTGCTCATATATATTGACATGATTGCATCCACATAACAATACACCGTCGCCATCGCAGGACTAACTCCTCCAAACCTGTCAAGACCTTTTGGAGAAGAATTGGTCAAGCAGAAGAGAAATGGCGTCCCTCAAGGTGAGTTTGATTGTTGGATGCTGCGATTGTCAATCATGTTTACAAAAGCGGTCGCTCATATCTTGACATGTTTGTGTTCACCCAACAGTACACCGTCGTCATCGCATGACTCCTTCAAACCTATCAAGACCTTTCGAGAAGAATTGGTCAATCAGAAGAGAAATGGCGTCCCTCAAGGTGAGTTTGATTGTCAGATACTGCGGTTGTCAATCATGTTGTTGAAAGCGGTTGCTCATGTCATGATATGGATTTCATTCAGGAACAATAAACCGCCGCCATTGCTTGATAACAACAAATCATCAAGACATCTCTGAAAAGAATCAATGAAGCACAAGTGAAATGGGGTCCCAAAGGTAAGTTTGATTGTCGGATGTTTCGAATGTCCGTCATTTTGATGAAACAAGTCGCTCTTGTCATGATATTGTTTTCATTCAGTCCAAATCATGCAGTCGTCATCGCTTGATCACTACAGATTCATCAAGCCACCTATGGGAAGAATTCGTTGACCAGAAGTGAAATGGCGTTGCTCAACAAGGCAAGTTTGATTGTTGCAATCGTCAATGTTGAAAAAAAAAACGGGTCACTCATGTTGCTCCTGCCTTGATATGGTTTGGCATTCAACCAGCAATACTCCGTCGCCGTCGCTTGATAACTACAAACTTATCAAGCCATCTCTGAGAAGAATCCATCAAGCAGAAGAGAAATGGCATTGCTCCCGGTAAAGTTGATTGTGATATGTTGTGATTGTCAATCATGACCGTGACAGTGGTCGTCCCCATTGCTTGACTACTGCTTTACCCAACAATACACCGTTGTCGTCGCTTGATTATCAGTACAGACTTATCAATCCATCTCTGGGGAGATTCCATCTAGCAGAAGAGAAATGGTGTCAATAGAGGTGATGTTGATTGTGATATGCTGCGATTGTCAATCATGACCATGTCAGTGTTTGCCATTGGTTGCATTACACTGTTGTGGGTGCTTGATTATTACAGACTCATCAAGCCATCTCTGAGAACAATCCATCCAGCAGAAGTGAAATGGCGTCGCTCAGCAAGGTAAGTTTGATTGTTGGATGTTTACATCGTGCATCATGTTGATGAAAGAAGTCGCTCATGTCATGATATATGGTTTTGTTGCATTCAACCAACAATACTCCATCCTTGTTGCTTGATTGCTGAAGACTTATCAAATCAACCAAACAGAAGAGAAATGGAGTATGTCAAGGTAAGTTTGACTGTCGGATATTGCAATTGTGAATCATGAAGATGACGGGGGTCACCAATACTCAACTACTTCACCCAACAATAAACCATTGTCGTTGCTTGATTACTACAGACTTAGTATCAAGCCATCTCTGAAGAGAATTGATCCAGGAGAAAAGAAATGGTGTCCCTCAAGGTAAGTTTGATTGTTGAAGGTTGCGATTTGCAATCATGACCGTGACAGTGGTTGCTATTGCTTGACTACTTTACCCAACAATGCATTGTCGTTGTTGCTTGATTACTACAGACTCATCAAGCCATTTCTGAGAAGACTCCATCTAGCAGAAGAGAAATGGCGTCGCTCCAGGTAAGGTTGATTGTGATATGTTTTGTTCGTCGACCATGTTGATGAAATAAGTCGCTCATGTCTTGATGTGTTTTGCATTCAACCAACATTACACAGTCCTCGTTGTTTGATTACTACAGACTCTTCAAGTTGTCATTGCTTGATTCTTACAGACTTATCAAGCCATCTCTGAGAGCAATCCATCCAGCAGAAGTGAAATGGCGTTGCTCAACAACGTAAGTTTGATTGTTGGATGCTTCCTTTGTGCATCATGTTGATGAGACAAGTCGCTCATGCCTTGATATGGTTTGCATTCAACCAATAATACACTGGCGGCGTCACTTGATTACTACAGACTTATCAAGCCATCTCTGGGGTGAATCCAACAAACAGAAGAGAAATGGCGTCGCTGTAGGTGTGTTTAATTGTTGTATGTTACGTTTGTCAACAAGGATGGTCACAGTGGTCTCCATTACTTGACTACTTTACACAAGAATACGCCCTTGTTGTCGCTTGATTACTAGGACAGACTTATCATTCTTCATAGCTCCTAATACCATACAAAACACAGCATATTAGTACTAAGAATGAGCAAAGTTCTGTAGCAAATAATGGATCTCTTATTATGCTTTTAAAAGATTATCAAATGTCTCCTGTTCTTTAGTCATTTTTCCTTGGCGCTTCTCCCTCCCTCAAATCCAGCTTCATTATTTCCTTTTGTGCCTTGTTCTGTTTGGGCACTCCAAAGCCCATTACATTGCTAATGGTGCATGATGCTCTGTAGTTTAATCCATATCATCCAAAGAATTTTAAAATTGAGTATAACCCTTTGCAAAACAACGTCCAATCAGGTCTTAAAATTGCTTTCAGATGTTGTGTAAGGCCTGCTGAGGTGAGGATTCCCTTCTTGTTGTATTGCCCATTGAAGGTGGCTTTCCTCCTACAACCTCCTACAACCTAGACATCGCAGTTCCACTTTTTGCCCTTGCTTGCTGTGGTGCTTTCTAGGGTGGCCCTCCATGAAAGAAATCAAGTAAGTGTCCGGCTAAGGGTTTCAAATATAGTACTAGCGTGATACTACTACAGCCAGCAGAAGGTTTGTTAAAGCAGTGCCCGCTTCCAACAAGCTGGTTTCATGGTGATATGCAAGACCAAATGAGGGGAACTTCCTGTACAAGCCAAATCATGAGCAACTTTGATGACTCTCCTTGACTAGTTTACATGATGGCTACTATTGGCAGCTTGATGTCTGTGACAAAGGAGTGTCACAAGAAGGAGACCTGCGAGTGATAAAATGCTAATTAATAGCCTTTTTGTTAATGGACTGTGAAAAAAGGTCACCACGTTGGGACATGCAGGACAACAATGACCTTTTGGATGAGTAGGACCTGTCAACCAATGTCTCATTGTTGTCATGATGACTAATGTGTGCTGTTCACTCCAAAGGAGTGTCCAAAAAGGGGGGCTCCTTGTGAAAAAAGGACAAGGAACTTTTGGAAAGGACGATGAGCCATGTCGCAAAAAGGGCAGACCATGGGGAATTTTGGGGAATTTCTTCATAAAAAGGTCATACCTACTGTTTCAGATGATTGTTGAATGACTACAGATGGACACTAAACAAAGTCTTCTGTATCCAAAATTCCTTCACTAAGTATTAGCTTTTAGTATTACCTTTTAGTATTAGCTTAGAAGTGGCCGCTTGCAGTTGCGGTTTGATTGAAATGACACCGTGTTGTCATGAGCACATGGCACTCTTGTCCGTGGGTTGTGGAGGGTGTAGGGTGGAGGGAAAACTGGGAGGGAAAATTGGGCAAAAAATAAAGGAGGCAAAAAATGGGATTGAATTTTGGTTTTTGGAAAACTGCAACAAAGCTTGATTGGAATTCATTTTCAAAGCCACGCTCTGTTCTTTCCTGACACTCATCATTGTTGTTGAAGCAGCAATGTGAACTTCCGGAGACTACAATTCCTGCAAGAAACAAAGAGGCTTCCGACACGGCACATTGGAGACCTACAACTTTTGGAATGCTTCAACATGCCTATGTTCATGTTTGTAACGCATGCATGGAAGATATAATTCATGTGAAACACATGCAGGGAAGGAAGAATCAAGTTGGGATGGGATCTATGGCCTCCTCTTCTATTGTCTTGGACTGCTATTGTCGTGAAACCATCTTCTCAGCGACACAAAAGATGGGGAGAAGCTTGGAGTTCTTCTAAGGATGGAGACTAGAATGTGACAGACAGAGAACACCGCTGCTGTTGCGGAAAGGCTGGAGTGGAACTGGATGATTCCTGGGCTTTTTGAGAAATCAGATTGTTACTAGTGTGTTGACAAAGAAATTGAAAATGTTGCAAGACGCTGTCCATTGATTAATTTTCAATTTCTTCTCCCAAATAGTAGGGGGAAGTCTGTTTGTTTGCCGTCTTGTAGTGTTAAGGAAATTAAGTTTCTAGTACATTTTTCGGTTCTTGTTTTATGGTGGTGGGGTCTTCAGTGAATTTTTAGCCAATAAGAGTTTGTCAATTCACTAAAAATGAGTCTATTATTAGTGGTATGAGCCAATCACAGCTCTCTATCACTAATGATAGACTTGACTAAGTCTCTTCCACACTAAATTAGTACTCTCCACTGGCTCCAAATGATGTTAGGGGGATGTTAGTAGTTTCTCTTTGTCTTATCAAATAACTAAACACCTTGTCTTAAGGACCAACCCTAGCCCTTGATCAAGAGGAAGGCCCTCGATCATTTCCCCACACTTGACTCTGGATTTGTTGAAGATGTATTTTGAGATATTTGGAGATTGGAGAATGCGGAGCAGAAACACGAAACGAGGCATTAGACAATGGGTCATCTTGTGTAAGATTGAACAGTGCCTGACAATAATGTGAGAAGTATT